TAGAAATGTTAGGACTTAAAATACAAAATATGGTAAAAATATAGCTTACCCCTCCACTAAACCTAAGGCACTACTTTTTGTATGTGGAACGTATTAAAGTCTGGAAGAACATTAAGTCACATCCCAATACATATTATCAGACATTATTGTTACTATTCTCTTCATTTCAGCTGGTAAAATCCAACTTTTTTTTCTTTTTTAAACACAGAGTTATTATGAGGCTTTGCATGTTAACCAAAACATCAATTACCACATTATGGCATATAAGACAATATACATTAAATTGTTATTAGCAACTTTAGCAGCATCTAAATACCAGCACAAGAAGCCACCATTCCAAGAACAGTCCAGGGCAGCACTTTGCTGAGTTATCTGCTTACAGGAAACTGGCAGCAAAGCCAGCTACCTTCCTAAAAGCCAATAAGGGAAAAATGGCAGTGTCTAAAATCACAAGCTAAAAAGCAGAGCGTAGGCCAGCTGCAGACCATGAAAATATTTGGCCAGTATTCATGAATGTGAGAAAGCCACAATATGGCAACATTTTAAAAATGATCCTCCATAGAACTTTCTCCATGGACTCCACCGTTAGATGCATGCATGGGGTTCCCACTTTCTTTAAAGAATACCAAATATAGATAAGTATTCATTTACTCTAAAAGTTTCTCAATTGAAACAAGCAAAGCTTCACACATCATCTAGAATGGAAGTAGAATGGCTCATGTATAATGAGGTCAAACTGAAGCATAATGTTCAAATAGAATGGCAGTCAAGACCAGCTTTTGTATATAAAAATACTTAAGCATGCAGAATATGAAAGCAAAATCAATCCTGTACATCTGATGTACACAGAGAGGTGGTCTGTGCTGCAGTAAGTGCAGTTGCAGATTTCAGATCTTCACTACAAAGGAGCATCCACGATAAAGTGGCTTCTGGGGACAAGAGGGCAGAAGGGAGGCCAGACTGTACGGCCAGTTAATTGGTGACAGGCTGCTAGGGAAGAAAAACATGTAAACAAATAAGTTTGGGGATATACTAACAGGAATGATTTTAAATTGTACAAAACAAGACAATGAACCAGATCCACATCAATAAAATACAAATATGTACTGATTTCTGCTCTGATAATAGCAAACAAGAGCTTCTGGTTTCTATTGTGCTGCCGCCCACAAACTTGCGTGCCAAAGCCAGACCGTAGTTAAGTGTTTGCCATGAGGAAAAGAAGGATGCAAAATTACAATTGCCCGACAGCCTCTAATATTTTCTCTCTTAAACCTGCTCTCTCTCTGAGCCTTGGGCATGCTTCTGTCCAAAGACACGGCTAGAATGAAGTCAAAGGTGTCCATCCATGGAGAGAACAATGTGGGACTAGGCTAAGAGACTGCAATTTGCCATAAACATACCCATGTGTCTGGAAAACAATGCACAAGCATCTTTCCCCCTTGTATGGCTGCGGCAGCAAGGGCAATCACACGCAGGTGGGTATGTTGCACATATGTAGGCACCTGATACATCATATCAAATAGCCTGAAAGAGTTTAAAACAGTCCATTGTTTTGTATGGTTACAAGACAAATTAAACTCTGTAAAGTTGGTCTTTTAAAAGACATCATTAAGAACAGTGGTGGGCAGAGAGAAGCAAGCTCCTGTTGGCTCTGCATCCACCAGGCAGTTGGGCCATGGGTTGGGACAGCACAAGTACATGTCCCCTCCTGCCCACTGGTGTATCACAGCCCACCCACCATGGGCCATCACTGCCAGTTCTAATTCTGTGCTTCATTCAGTTTTTGGCATTTCTCCTGAAAAAGGCAGCAGAGGCATGTTAGTGGGACTGCAGAGATAAGCTCTGATTGGATTCACATTGCATATATGAAGCAAATATGTATATATTAATACATAAATATAAATACATACATATAGATATAAAAATTGTCATTTTCTTTATAAGGTTCATCCATGGAGGCTAGATGAAAGCTAGGCTGAGTTGGCTATTTAGTTTATGAGAGTCTCATTCAACACAGAGATTAAATTATCTGTTCTCTATGTAAACCTATTTATTACTAAGGACCCTTCTGCCCATGCAGCAGTTATACTGACTTCAGCAAAACTTCATGCTGGATGAAAAATCTGTACCAGTAGATCCAGCCAAATTTGAAAGTGCTCAAATAAGCCAGAAGAAACTGCAAATAAAAAGGCCCAGTTCACTCTTTCACACAATCTCAGCATTCCAGTATCCCATAAAGAAAGAATCTGTATGACCTGAAACAGGTGGATAAAGAGAATCCGACAATACTATTAGCCTTGCCCTGCTTGCTCCCCCTGGCTGTAGCCCTCTTTAAATGCAAAAATGTATTTTACCATCCCCTTCCATAAACAGAAACACGCATTCCCAAAGTAAAATGTTGTACTCTTTC